TAAAAAAAAAAAAAAAAGAACATAAATGTTTTTCTTCTTACAACTGATTTGTGCCTTTAGCTGCTTAATAATAATACAAAAAATCTTTAATTACAGGCTATACATGTTAAGTGTCTTTATAAGGCATCTTTTTATGTTCCTTTGAAGCAGCTTGAAGCATTCCTTACCCTTTCTTAATCATGTTTTCAAAAATAAGGAAATGCATTGTAGTGGTATGTTTTAAATACCAGTTCCATGTTTCAAATACCACTTTAGCATCTTTTTCTACATCTTATTGACAGAATCAAAACCTCACAAAACAAAGAATGCAATACATATTGTTCATCAGAAGAGATGCATATTAGGAAAGAAATAGCTTATTGGTAATTCTCTCTTGAGGACTGAATAACTGTATAGATATCAAGAGTCTGTTGTTACTTTAGATTTTTCTCCTTTTGAAAAAAGATCTTAAATACGTAATCATGAAATGGTCTCCTAACAAGTAAAGGACACATTTATCTCTAGCTCCCCCCACAGGGGTATTTAATACTTTCATTCCCATGGTATCCTTTAATTACGAAGAGATGATGCACATGCTGACATTTCTGCTTTGCTTTCAGGCTGATTTTTTTAGTTGCTTCTGACATCTTCCCTTGAAGTCCATTTCTAACTCATGCAAGCCCCTTACCATTTCTCTCCTTTATGCCACTTGCAGCATTATTAGCTTGCCTGTTTTCCAGGGCTGTATTTAGTACAACATTTGAATCGTTTCTTCCTAAATTCTGTTGCTGGCCGACTCCCTCACTAAAACTTGATCTTTCCTTATTGCTCTGCTGAAGACTTTGCTACTGAATTGAATAATCACATTCTATTTTGAGTATTTTAAAGCTTTTAGTTATCTGATTTCCCTGCTTCTTATTTCCTCCAGCCTGTTCATATCTTGTCTACACACACCTCTCTTTAATTAGTATGCATTATACCTTGGTTAATTTATCACTCCAAGGGGACTGGTGATGATGAGAAACTAATGTTCAGTAGTTGGTCATTTTCAACATTTTGCATGACATATTAAGACACATGAACTACAATAATTTTTTATGTTTCGAAAGAATATGTTTAGAAGTTTGAATGAAAATGTATGCACTCTTGCCTTTTATAGAAGAACTGTATGATTTTTACAGATACTTTAGTGGACTGGTCCTTATGAAAAAATATCAAAATGTCCATTATGCAGCAATTACTTTGTTATGATGGAATAAAATAATCAGTCAAGGGATTTTGCTTTTCACTCTTACATGAATTTATTACCAAAATAGAAGATAATATTGTAAAGTGGAGCAGTTGACCATTTCTGTCTTTAAACCAAGAGAAGCTGAAGAGCATCTAGTTCTTTTGTGAGCATCATCTGGCTTGACATCTATTATGGAGGGCTTAGGCCAGCTACAAGCTTTTAATCCTACTTATCAAGAATGAATTCTGTCATGGTTTAATATACACCCACATTGGAAATGGCTAATTACACTTCTTACAGGTGGCAAATTAGTTAGTGTGGTTTGTGTACAAATCATTAGGACTATGAGAGGTTACAGACTATTAAGACCAAAGATGTTGTCATCCTAGCTGCACTTACTGTTTCAGTTCTTTGTATTTTTTTTGTATAAAACTCTAAGCTCTGAGGAGTTATGGCCTCGATTCTGCAATTAAACTTATAGGGGGTCTGCCCATACGGTGCAGAGTAGACAAAGCGCACCTCTGTTTGATCCCATTACAAGCCTGAGGACAGGGTTGTAAAGTGTCTATAAACTTACGATATTCTTTCACGTTACTTAATAGCATGTAATCCTGACACCCTCCTGAACAAGACTCTGTGTGTACAATGTCTGAAGAAACAAAAGTTGTCATGTTTTATCCTTGTTTAGTCAGGGATCAGGTTTAATTACCAGATCACTCCCATCTTTCCCTTTATGCACTCAGACTTGCTTTAGCTGCTGTTTTTTTTCCATAGCTAACACAAGCTGTTTTCTTGCATCTTGCATTTTGGGGCAATAATGATCAAACTAGCTAAGTCACTGACAGAAGCTTGTCTCTACTGATTTATTTCAGAAATGCAGTTCTTTTAACGAGGACTGTGAGGATCTAACCTGACCTGTGCTAAATAGGTGCCTCTAGCACAGAAGCTGAATTCTTGAGTGTAGTTGCCAAGAGCTCTGCTTTCAGTGTTCTGCACATCAAACAGTTATTCAGTGGAGGTTTAATATTGCCAATTAGTTTTGAATACTTATGCCTTCAGACCTGTCTTCAGCTATCTATGGTTTTGCTCTAGGGAAGTGGTGTTCAGCCTTTTGGACCTGCGGACCAGAAAGGCCGCATGGTGCTGGTCCACACCCTCCCTGCCCCCCTGAATGCTGGGATTGGGTCCTGAGAGTGGAGCACCACTGCCTCCTGAGAGGTTTCGGTCTTAAGGGGGTGGGGGCAAACACCTCCCCCTGTCTGCTGGGATTGGGGCCCTGGGGCCCAGCGCCACTCTTTTTGCCCTGTGCACATCCAGGCCCCATCCAGAGCACAGGGCCATGAGGCCAGAAGTTTGGCAGCAAGGGAGTGGTGCCACTGTTTCCCAATCACTAAATTTCTGGACCCATGGGATGCCTGTGAGACAGATGACATGGGGCCATGACCTGGATCTGGCCTACTCTTGAGCACACCTACTCCAGAGCCTTATAGTATAGAATATAAGCTACAGTAAATGCAGCACATAATGCTAATATCATCCTCTCTGATTTAGGTCATTGTCCCTGAAGCAATAAAGCTTGAGTGCACCTTAACAAAGTGATATATAATCAAAGTTTTTGCTGGCTTGTTTTTAAAGGAGCAAAGGCGTAACAGGTTAGCTCGGGAATTACCTTCAACCGTGCCACGAGACAAGGTAAGTGAATATACATTTGTATTTATTTACTTAAATGTGTGCTTTTCAAACTGATCCAACCATGACAATCCCTGGTCTGATGCCCTAGTACTTAATTTTATTTCAGGGGATGAAGGAATAAATTGGAGTTGAATGTTTTCTCTTGGATACAGCTTTGTGCAGATTTTTAAAACAGCCAAGAGCAAATAAACTGTCTTATGTGCATAGGGTGCATAAGCATCCTATTTACCTAGGTGAGGTTTAATGTGTTTGTAAGTGTGAAACGGAGTGGGTCATAACTTCTATGCATAACCATGTGCTGAGAGAGACTCGTATTAGATTGTTGAGGGAGAGGCTTATAAAGTACAGTGTGGAAACAAGTCCCTTTTATGGCTTTAGTGGAGTGCAACATTGCTGTCTTGGGAAGAAAAAAATGAAGAAAAAATTTGAGTTTATTCTTATGCTTAGATAGGGATCCAGTGTAGTTACTGCTCCTTCAGCTGTATACAGTCAGTGGGCTTAATTTGCCAGGTTCTCAGGACAAGTTGGGCAATTAATTAATTCACATGAAACAGAACAAAGTGGCCTGAAAAAATCCTGCTTAGTTGTGGAAAAGGTCATCTAACAATTTGTCATTATTTTTAGCTTATTACAGGTACTTACAGGTACTTGGTGGTCTGTAAAAGTAGAGCAAACCCAGACTGATGCAAAATTACTTGTTTATGTCTCCAAAACATTGGTTTAACTTTGTAGGAATTGTCACAATTTGTAATTTATATTCATTGAAGTGCCAAAGTGTATCCAGCATAGGATCAGGGTGAAATGGGAACCCAATCAACATGAATTGGGAACCTTAAGCAGTATAGAGCTTGCATTCCGTGCTCTATAATCATGCATGTTACATTCTGCTTTTGATGGATTTCACTGGAAAGCATAGTTTTTAAATCTGCAGTATGGACATTGGGGACCAAGCAGAGTGCTTGATTTTTTTTTTAATTTTTTTGCTTTTTTTTTAATTTTATTTATTTATTTATTTATTTATTTATTTTTTAGTGGCTCCTTTTCAAAGCCTTTAGGTTGTTTATTTTTTTCTGTTTGTACTACCATCTTGCTTGCAAATCTCAAAGTTCCAGTGCTTTTCTGGGTGGTTAACAACACCGGTAGAGAACAATGCACAAAAGTATTAGGCAGGTTTTGTCTTCATTTGATTTTTTTTTTTTTTTTTCCCTGAATTTTTTACCTTTTAGTCCACTAAACCTCCAGGTGCATTAGCACCTGCCTCCCAGGAAACTGCTACTGCTGCTTCTGCTGAGGCTGATAGCAAGGTGTGTCCTGATTCTTTCTATAAGCATGGCATGCATGTTCTTGTGATGCACCTTGAACACAGCTGAAAGTAACTTAATATGCATGTGTGTCACTACTGGCTCAGTGTCTTCTGTCTGTTGGATCATGTGTCCTCTAGTGCTGAGACTGCCTATTACTACTCATAAAGCTGTAAAACAGTGGTTCTCCCCCAGGATGCTGTTACCCCCAGGGGTGTTGTGAGAAACCCTCCCCTCCTTCCCCAGGGGTGCCATGATGCAGGCATTGCTTCTGTGATGATAGTAGCCAGATAAAACTGCTCTGCTTGCAGGTGTGTAGCATTCACACATTCTGGTTACATTAGGGCTCTCTGATAACCCTAAAGCAGACATAGCTGACTTGGGCTGTAGCCCATCCAGCAACCTGCCCCTCCCACTCAAAAAAAATAAAAATAAAAAAAAGCTCCTCCTGGAAACAGAAGTTCAGGGGAAAATTCTACTTATGTGCCTCTGTTTCCAGGAAAGGGAAGGGGAGTATAGTTTGCAAAGGGCTACAGTTCAAGTCAGCTGTCTGCTTTAGAGCAGTGGTTCTCAAATTTTTTTGTACCAGGGCCCATTTGTAAACATTGGCCAGCCTGCAAAAGAAAACCCAGTTTCCCACATTTTTCTCCTTTAAAGGAGAATCCATTTTTAAAGTTTGTTGATCCATTTATAAAGTTTGTTCATGACCCTTCAATATATTTTTGCAGTGCACTTTTGGGTCACAACCCACAGGTTAAGAAATGCTGCTTTAGGGTTATCAGAGCGCTAATACAGGAGGAGTGTGCGCAATGTGCCACAGCCCTTTCTAGGTTGGCTTTACAAGAGCAGGCACACAGGGCAGTTTTACCTGGAGATGGAAGCACAGAGGTAAGTTAAGGCAGCACTAACAGTGGTTCTCAGATGGGGAAGTTGCAACCTTTTAAATGTGGTGGAGGGGTGCCCTGACTCAGAAAAGGTTGAGAACAACTGGTTTACGATGTATAAAGACGGGAAATGGGCTGAGTATATTCAGGTAGAACCTTTGCTGTTTTCAGCTGGAGCATTTGTTTGCTGCATGTGATGGTGTAAGTGTGCAGAGCCATTATTTGCAGAAACTTCTTTCTCCATAGTAGCCTACAGTACTTTAATCAAACATGTCAAGTATTGTTTTTAAACTGCATGTTTTAATGTCTTAACAGTTAATAAAGGAGAGCAGGAGACAAACTTAAAATGTGAGTCTCCTGCTTCCTGCAGAGAATTTTGCGGGCTCTGTTTAATGAGCCTCCCTTTTGAAGTCCCTAATCCCTGCTCACTAATTGGTTCATACTTGTACAAGGCATCCTATAATGGCTTTTTACACTTCCACACCAGTATCCTACCTGCTTTGTTACATTTGTGTTGCATCCATGCGCAACAATTGTTTGCTAATATATAGGGGTGCACCGATTAGAGATTTGGGGGGCCAATACTGATGGCCAGTATTTAAGGAGGCATATCAGCCGATACTGATCCAATTTTTCTGATACAGCTGCCTCCAGCTGGTAAGTCTGTTGCGGGGTGGGGCAGATCAACACCCTCTGTGGTGAGGGATGGGGTGCAGGGGCAGGCAGTGCCCAGGCGGGGTGCCGGTGTGGGGAGGGGCTGGAGAAGAGCCAGGACTGCGCTGGGTGGCTGGTAGCAGCAGCACTGAGAGCAGAGCAGCAGCAAAATTTGGGATGGATGTAGCATCCTCCCAGTGCCACCAGCACCTGCTCCAAGCCCAGCCCCCACTGAGAAGAGCCCTGCCCCACCCTGCACAGATCCAGGGACACATGCCGCCCCACCATGCCCTCCTGGGGTGGGAGCTGCCTCCTCTGCCCCCTCCCCATGCCCCACCTGGACAGTGCCTGCTCCCTCCCTCACTGTGGGGGGTGTTGATCTGCTCCCCACCATGCCCCTTCCCTGCCCCCTCCCCTTCCACCACACTGGACTTACCAGCTGCATGCAGCTCTCCGTGCTGCCAGCTGTGGTCCTCACTGGCTGAGTGCTGTGCTGCGGCTGCACTCAGCATGGGCATTTATCAGCCAAATTATTGGCCCCATCGGGCCGATATCTGATGCAGCAAATTTTCTTTATACTGGTACCGATCCGATATAGGACCAATGTATCGGTGCACCTCTACTAACATATTTCACAGGCAGAATCGCTTGGTGCCTATTGTACTAGGTGCAACATGTACATAACCTTGCTTGCAATGAGCTAGAATTCTTTTTAGGTGCTAGCTATTTGATTACAGGAATTATAACTGGATGTGGTAAGAATGAGCTAGGGGCAAGCACCTGAAAAAGCTGAAAACTGCACTATTGACACTGAGTTTGGGGTGTTCCTTAGGGCACCAGGCAGGATGGTATCAATAGCTGCAGGGGAAATGCTGAATTCTGGTGCTTTCTTGTTCACTATACAGAACATATATTTTTATGTGGCTGCATGTATCCAAATACTCTTATCTTAGATTCTGTTCATTTTTAAAAGAATGCAGTGACTGATTCTGAGAGGGGCCTTGCAAGCCTGTGGGGCCACTAATTTAGAGCTGCGTTTGGTAGCTTAACACCTAAACTGTGAAGTCATTAGGAGCAGAAGTCCTAACATCAGCTGAACACCTCATAAGCTTCATTTTAAACCCCTTGTTGTTTCTCTTAATGCCTCCTACTCTACTAATACTGTATTTACACGAATAAAAGATGACCCTGAATATAAGATAATTTCCCAATAATTAGATTCTCTATCTAGTCAAATTATAAGAAATAAATCATTTTAATGATTTATTTCTTACAATTTTCTAGACATGGAATCTAACCACAGTAAAATCTCTGTTTTTCTGGCATTTTGCTAGCCAGCATCCTCTATTAACCGGCACTACACCACTGCTGTGTGCAACCACCCTGAGCTGCCACCACATGCAAGCCGTGTACAATCCCCCCGTGCTGCTGCCGTCCACCACCACCACATGCAAGCTCCTCTCACCCCGGGCTCGGGTATTTTTAGATAACTGGCATTTTTACATTACTGGCACCCAGCATTCCCCACTCATGCTGGATAACGGAGATCTTACTGTATTGGAGGATTGTCTTAGATTCCCTGTCCACCCCCACTGCTACATCAAGGAAAGCAGTGGATGGAGGGGAGGGGTGGCCCCCTTCTCCTGTGCCCTGCCTACTTCTTCCTCTGCAGCTTTCCTGCCCCCCTGCAACCTGCAGCCCCCACCCTCAAACTTCCCCCAGTCTCTGCCTCTTCTCCCTCCTGCACCCTCCCCCCACCTACACACATACTTTCAAGTGCTGCTTGGGCTGCTCCATAGTTTCATAGTTGTTAGGGGTGGATGGGACCTTACTGATCATCAGGTCCAGCCCCCCTGCATTTGGGCAGGAAAGGCTGCTGAGATCAGATGACTCCAGTGAAATAGGGATCAAGATGCTTTTTGAAGATCGCCAGGGTGAATGATTGTACTGCCTCTGTGGGGGGAGACTGTTCCAAACCCTTGGCATTCGACCTGTAAAGAAATCTTTCCTTGTGTCCAGTCTGAAGCGATCCTCAATCAGCTTGTGCCCATTATTTCTTGTCCTCCCCTGGGGGAGCCTTGGTGAATAGATGCTCTCCCAGGCCCTGATGGTCTGCCCTTGATTCCAGATCACAGCATGTGAGAATCTCAGCCTTTGCCTGGCCATTCAGCAGTGTCAGGCAAGTGGTTCAGGGAGGTGTGAACTTCCATAAGTGACAGTCCACTTTGTTAGATGCTGTTAATCACTTAGAGAAGCCCACACGCTGCCCTAGTTCTGCCTAACTTCAGACTAACATAGTTAACCAGCTCTTTAATCATGCTTTTAAGTAGCTGAGCATTAAAGAAAACAAAACAAAACCTTGAGCAGTTCCACTGGTCGGTCAGAATTGGTATTTCTCTTTGAACTCTTTGTTTTTAACTTGTAGGAAAGTTTATTTGCCATTTTTTGCTTTCAGAACCTTTTAAGCTAAAGATTGGCTTTGTGGTAATTATAGTTTTTTAACCATAAGCACAGTAATACAGGTTTGTCTTGTTTTCCGTCTGCTCTTGAGCAGAATGTAAGTTGTATTTTGAGGCTTTTGGTGATCCAAATAGGAGTTGTAAATTTCTATGTCTTTTTTCCCAATTAGCTGTAGATAGAAAGGGAAAAAATGATGAGTTTGGTGAAGGTACAGTTTGGTAGATGCATAGAGAGGAACGGAAATGCTTGGATTTAGTGAATGAGAGCTTCCAGTGTAGCCTGTCATTTAAACTAATGTAACATTTGGCGTGTTACTCCTGAGATACTTTTACATCCTATGTTCCTAATGCACAGTCTACATTTAGGTGTTTTTTATATTCCCTATACAAGACCTGGGGGTGGTATGGGAGGGGGGAAGGGAGGTGTCAATCAGTCGATCCTTCTGTGTAAGTGAGCCTGCACAGGCTAAGAACTCCAGTCCTTTACTTTCAGTAACCTAGGGGGAGATTTGCTTTGCTTTTGTTTTGCCTATTTGGGTTATTTTAAATTTTGGTTTCTTGGTGTGCCAAACCAAACTCACCCACCTAGAAGGGGTTGCCTTGGAGATGGATTGCTGCAGCTTTAAAGCTGTGCAATGTACATTTTAATACTTGGGATCATCAAGGCACGTGGTTCTTACGGCTGTTAAAAGGGACCTAGAAACTTCCGACCCTAGAAACTATGAAACTATGACCTTTTTGTTTTTACCTGAATTGAAGCACTGAAGAAATTGATCAAATAATTATACAAGCCCTTCGTAGTTGTACTACCTAGAAATTACAGAACCAAAGAAAAGATGCTGCTCCCTGTCTTTGTAGGTGCTGCTGCTCCAAGATGCAGGGTAACACTTTCATAACTTCCTGCATGACTTAGTAGCCTAACTTCCATTTTTAAAAACAATCTATGTACTTTAGACCTTATCTACATAGGATCATAGGAATGATAGAATGGTTAGAAAGCATGAGGAAGCTTATATTCATGTCCTGCCTTACACTGGCAAAAAGTATTGTGGGTCTGCTTGTGGACTTTTAAGGTATTAAATTGAACTATAATAATTCAGCTCTATGGCTCCTTGAAACAGCTTCAGATAAGCCCAGAAAGGTACTTTTATTCTGTGCAGGGGAGTACACTGAGAAGAAATAAAGTACACTGGCACAGTTGAATCATTTTTAACTAGAAAATCTCCCATGTGTCACTGATCTTTTTGATGGGACTTGAGCTGTTGAGGGTCTGATTTCCTCTTGAGGTTGAAAATTGGGTTCTTGAGACATTTAAAACATGTTTAAAAAAAATTAGTCAGTTTGTTCACACTGACATTGCTCAATATTTAGTGAATTGGATACGTTTCTCAAGCCTGCTACCCAGAGTTAAAGGGAGAGAAAAGGTGTTGGAAGCAAAGACTGGACTGAATCTCAGAAAGGGATGTACACTCCAAGATGCAGACCACCACCTTTTGCCCACAGTTGAGTAATAATATGCTTCACTGGAGACTGCCTTTGTGGTGTCTTGGATTTTTGACTTTTTGGTGTATATTTGTATTGTGATCTTTTTGCAGGCTGTCCCTGGAGTAGGGGATGCAACGCAAGAGCCTGGTACAGGCAGCTGGAGAGGGATGTTAAAACCCTCAAAAACAGAAGACTTGTCTACTGAGGAAAAGCCCAAACCAGTTTCAGTCTTACCTGCCAGCCCACAGAAAGGGTATGCTGTCAACCTGTTGGATGTGGTGAGTTGAGAGATGATGTAACTGCACCTTGTAGCTCAGATCCAGGAAACAAGACTTCTTTTGAATTTAGCACCTTTAGACTATAAAACTGGAGAAACAGACTGACTACATTCTCACAGTTTTCCTACTTCACTAGTGCTGCAAAATGATCTACTGTCATTGGTAGTGTAAACACCCAGTTTCAGCAGGAATGAATGGATAGGCATTTTCACTGTCAGGGACCTTGAGTTAGTGAAAAATTGAACATCAGTCAACTAAAAAATGTTACTTTTTTTCTCTTAAAGGGCTTTTTTTTGGAGGGGAGGAGGGGTACTGCATTGTACCTCTGCTTTGAAAGTTACATTCTGCTGTCCAAAGAAGTGAAATGTTTTAAACAGTGTTTACAGGTTAACTTTGTGTTTTGCTTTTTTACATAGCCTGTACCTGTTGCACGTAAACTCTCTGCCCGTGAACAACGAGATTGTGAGGTGATTGAACGACTTATTAAATCCTACTTCCTTATTGTCCGAAAGAATATTCAGGACAGGTAATGCCGCATATTTTATGTATTGGCACTCTTATCTCCCAAAGCTATGAAACTTTTTTCAGCAGCAAGTGATGGTCAGCATTAAGTTGCTTTTATATTGCTTTGTTTTGTTAGTGAGATGGACAATATAATCATTCTGCAAGAGTAGAAGTTGTGAAATTTATTTCTAATCAAACTGAAGTCATCTGCTAAGGAGAAGACTGCACTATTTCAGTGTGTCTAGTATTGCTTTCTTCTCTTTTTGGGATCCGTATTATATTGCACTGCAAGCTTCCAGAATTGGTGGTGAGGCAGCATTAATTGCCATTTCCCTGATGCCAAATTTTCAGGTGAGGTGGAGCCCTATGGACTGGATAACATGGCCCTACATGGTAGACTGGTTGCACAGGGTGGTGTGGGGCCAATTCCTGGTGTGTGGGGCTAACACAAGGCAGTGTGGGAACCAATGCGTGGGGCCGGATCCGGCCTGCAGAGCAGCCCCATGTCACTCGTCTGGCTCACGAGGCCAAAAGGTTGAGCCCTACAGCTGTAGGGCATTGCAGTTAGTGTTAGGTGGATTGTGGTAAAACCCCAAGTATAGTCAGGCTTTCAAAACACTCAACTTTTCAGCCATCAACCATTCAACTAAGGAAGCTCATGTGGAGTTCTTATGCTAAAGTATTTCAGTCCTTGGCCATAAGAGTTGAAGAAGCGTATATCTAAGCATGCCATACATACAAGTTGTGCCAACAATTTTTTTATGTCATTATTCCCTTTAAAGCAGATCGTGGTTCTGTTTCAATCTAAGGAGAAAACAGAGAAGTGACTACATGATTTTATTAATACTTTGTAGGAAGAAAGCAATGTATGCTCTTTTTTATGTATAATTAAAAAAAAAAAAAAGAGAGAGAGAAAATCTAGAAGATGGAGGTTAAATCAAGTTACTTTGCCAGTACTGTGGCCACTGCAAAATTGTTTTCTCCAGAAAATTCTTCAGTATTGTGTCTAATGTAGGTTTATTGGTCTTTGGGGCAGAGGCTGTGTAGTGTTCCACTGGAATGTTATTGAAAAGTTTAGTTGACTTGTTCCTGATCCTCAATGAAAATCAACTACTACTTAACTTTTATCTCAGTACTTTTAGTTGAGCTGCATTTCCTTTTATGATTCTGAACAAGATTTCTCCTTGTTATGCACTTTTTCTCCACATTCATAGATGGGGAACATTTGCATTGTAGTTGCTCTTACATTCAAAGCTATGTAATATCTACTGGAGAGAGATATTTTGGAAATGCCTGTTTTTGAAAAGAACGTTCTGTATCTTTCTGCATAGAGGTTTTTACCACAGTGTTGCCTCAGGCCCCTTCCATCCAAACACAACTTTGACCTGAGTTTAGTGGTACTTTCAATGTAAGCTAGCTGGATCACTAAGGGCTATAGGCAGTAATCTTGTTTTTTTTCTGCTTAGGCTACTAGTGTGCCTACTTGTAATGAGGGCACAGACTCAATCACTAAAGCACAAAATCAGTTCCATAGGCAGGCTCTCCCACAGTTCATAGAGCAGCAGTTTACTGCAGCACAAATGGAGGGAGGCTTATTGAATAATTCCACTGGCCCCGCACATCATTGTTTCCAGGAGATGCCATGAAGGGTTGGTCTGGGAAGGGCTGTGGCGTGACCAGGGACTCCTGCCTGCTTTAAGGTTATCAGAGAGCCCTAATGCAGGCAGGAACATTCATGTGCTGCATCCCTTCCCAGTCGCACCGTGGTACCCATGAAAGGGTCTTGCAGCATCCTGACAGTACAAAAAAAGTGCCTGTGAGCTGTCTGGGACAGGGGGGTCCTTTTGTTTACGCAGTACTGAGCACATTGGGGCTGTTCCATAATTAGGGCTTGTAGGCAGTTCAGTAATATATATTATAATAGCATTATCTCACCAATTCCCATCTAATTGACCCCTTCCCTCCCCCCCGAATCTGTTTTGGAAGAGCTGTGTTTTTGCTGTTAGATACTTTAAACGTGTCCATTCCTCTTCCCCCTTCCATCTGGTCCACACTACATAATTTTGAGGGCAGAGTGCAAGTTCTGCAGACAACTGTAAGCTGGCAGATTGCCAGCAGCAGAAGACATATGTAGACCCTTGTACTCTCTTCTAGGATTAATGACCCATTCAGTGGTGGGTGCTTTCCCAAGATGCCCTTCATGCTGTGCCAGCATAGCTGCTGCAGGGGGACCTTGCAGGTGTGCATGCCTTTTGGCAGCAGAAACAGCCATTGTATAGGCAAGGCCTTGGTTATTATCCTGTACTGAAGAGCTTTCTTAGTGTTTCAGCATGCTGGGCTTCCTGGGGCCTGATCTTTGTTTCATAGTTAGTTAGTAGGGTCAGAAGGGACCTGAGCAGATCATCAAGTCTGACCCCCTGCCATGGCAGGAAAGAGTACTGGGGTTAAACGACCCCAGCAAGGTGATTGTCTAGCCTTGTCTTAAAGACCCCCAGGGTAGGAGCCAGCACCACTTCTCTTGGAAGTTGGTTCCAGATCCTAGCCACCCTGACAGTGAAATAGCGCCTCCTGATGTCTAATCTGAATTTACCTTCTGCAGGCTTGTGACCATTATTTCTAGTCTTGATTGACTGCTGGTTCTTACTGTAATAAAAATATATTATGCTTTCTATTATTTGAACAAAGCATACAGTCCCTTCATTTACTGTAAAGTACAGTCATAGAATCTTGGAAAATTGGGGTTGGAAGGACCTAAGGAGGTCATCTAGTCCCAACCCCCTGCTCAAAGCAGGACCATCCCCAACTAGATCGTTCAAGCCAGGTTTTCGTGTAGCTGGGCCTTAAAAACCTCCAAAGTTGGAGATTGTATCACCTCCGCGTGACCCATTCCAGTGCTTCACCACACTCCTAGTGAAAGAGTTTTTCCTAATATCCAAGCTAAACCTCCCTTGCTGCAACTTAAGACCACTGCCCCTTGTTCTGATCTGCCACCACTGAGAACAGTTCAGCTCCACCCTCTTTGTAACCACCTCACTCCAAGTTGCCTCAGAGGCAAAGATCTGGGCTGTTAGACTGCATATAATCACTGCAACTATTTAGGAAAAGCAGTTAAGCTTACAGCAATATGTAATAGGGCTGTGTGAGATTTTGGCAGCTGTTTCGTTTCAGAGGTGTTTTGGGCCATTTCGGTGCACGATACACCAAATCTGAATTGAAACACAAGGCTCTGAAAACATTTCAGAAATGTTTTGGAGCTGAGTTTGCAGGGAAATAAAAACCTAAGAAGAGAGAGGGGAAAGAGTGGGGGAGGGAGTACTCTGATTTTGACATCTAGCTCTCTGATCACTTCCCTCAGCTCTTCCTGGAGGGTGTGGCCCCTGATTTGCACGCAGGGTTTCAGCAGGCTGCCACTGAAGGCTGGAGACAGTGGCAGCTGCTTGGCACAGGCCATGCAGAGCGCTGGGAAGACTGTGGTGCTGCTGCTGGCTCCAGCCTGCTGAAATATGGCGCGCTGATCCAGGGGCCCACGTGCCCCGGGAAGAGCTGGGGGAATTGAACCGGCGGCTGGAAAATGGAACAAGGAGCTGGGCAATCCCTGCTGTGCAACCTGGCTCCCCAGGGAGAAGAGATCCCTTCCTGGGTCGTCTCCTCACCGCTGCCTGCCCCATGCAGCCCCAGATTTCTGCTCCCTGTGGAGCTAGGTTGGGTGGAGGGGACCAGCACTGCCCTGCCATGCGACCTGGCTCTGCAGGGAGCAGAGATCTGTGCTGGGGTCTCTTCGCCACTGCTGCCCGCCCTGCGTAGACCCACGTCGCTGGGGCAGCGTGGGGTGGTTAGGAGCAGCAAGGAGACCACAGCACAGGTCTCTGCTCCCTGTGGGGCTGAGTCTCCTGGCAGGGACAGCAGGCTTGCTTGCCACTCTGTGCTGCTTCCTTGCCCCACAACCTGGCGTGATGGGGATCAGAGATCTGTGCAGGGGTCTCCTCACCTTCACGGAGGGCAGTAGTCCGTCCCCAGATGAGCCACCCACAGCCCTGTCCTGCTGCCTGTTGGGGCCCTGTAGCCTCCAGCCCCAAGCCCCGCCTGGCTGGGTAGGGCAGTGCGCAGCTTCCCTTGCAGCCCATTCAAAACAGATTCGGAGAAGATTCAGCTGAGCTGAATCTCCAAAACCGATTTGGTCGAAACGAAACAGGACAGTGATCTGAAACGCCAAAAGGAATTGCTGTCCTCCGAAACCAGATTGAAACACAGCAGTTTCGCACAACCCTAATATGCAAATATCTCTCGTCACTTCAGGCCAAATTATTTGCATTTGAACATGAAGATTAACTCATTTAATGTTTTAATAATGCCCTGGTTTCATGGGTTTAGGTTTTTTTTTTCTTTTCTCCTCTCTTTTTGGCTTGCAGTGTGCCGAAGGCAGTGATGCATTTCCTGGTGAATCACGTGAAGGACACTCTTCAGAGTGAACTAGTAGGACAGCTCTACAAATCCCTGTTGTTGGATGACCTTCTGACTGAATCTGAGGACATGGCACAGCGCAGGAAGGAAGCAGCTGATATGTTAAAGGTATCTAATCTTCTGGGAACAGTAAATCAAACCTGAATTATCACTTGATTAAATCTCCAGAGGTTCTACATATATAGCAGTAGTTTCCGGCTCTGGTTGCATTTTTTGGATCTATGTCCATGTATGTTTTTTCCTGTATTATATTTGCTACTATTAAAAGAAGTAGTATGTAAGCAAGAAAACAGTAATGAAATACTGGGAACATTCATTATTTCACTAATCTAGCTACTGAAATAAACCAGAAATTCAGGTGCAGACTGTAGTCTTAGTTTTATCAGCCAGTTTTAATATAGTAAGGGTTGTTTCAGCTTTTCCAAAGTATTTCTTTAAAGTTGTTCAGCCCAAACTTGAAAATGGGGTTTCACAGCATTTGAATGCATTTCCCTGGCTACACAGTAAGACCCTGGTCTTGGGTGATACAGTAGTTTGGTGACCAGTGCAAAGCTTTTCTCTTAAAAGGTTTTCATTGGAATACTCCTCTAAATGAAGGTGTGGCAAATACTGCATCAGTGCTTCTTGTATTGCTGTGAGATTAGTCAGGAGGTAGGGCAGGGTGGCATATTAAACCACTAGTAGACGTTAATTTGATTACATGACAGGATGCAAGGAATTTTATCCCTCCCCCTCATGCCCCCCCCCCCCAAAAACAAAACAAAAAACCTAAAAAACATGCATCTTGCCATGCCAATCGTTCATAGTCTGCCATGGCGGGATGCACATTTTTGGGGGCGCAGATCCCGTCCTGTGTCTGCTAGGGCACATCTCCCTGATACCAGGTGGTATGCCTGCCCTTTCACCTTGCCAGTGCATAGGGAGTTCCCAAATCCTGGGTTTCCCATGTGCCCGATCTTTAAATGCCCAGTTACATGTGCGACTTTCAAACATGCTGGCATATAGGGAACTTGAGATTTGGTGATTGATCCCAGTCCCCTGATGCCTGTGCCCCAGACTTTCAAAGGTGATATGGGAAGGATCAGATAGCTGGGGAGATCAGGGCTGGGGATCGGCTATATTATAACAAAGGAAAGGGCTTGTTGCTATCCCTTAAGAAAAAAAAAAAAAAAGTCCTTTTATGTTAAACTGAGAGCTCTCTGTTTCAAATTTAGTTTGTAACATCGGGTTCCTGAGAGTTGAGGGAATGGCTTGACAAGCTGTGTGATATTGTCTTGACAGCACCTTCTTGTACTGTTTTATCCTTGTATAACTCCTCCCTCTGGGGACTTTAGAGACCTTCATGATTAGAGCCTCCAAACTCATGATCTGGTTTCTGAACTTCAGCATTCCACAGCTAGAACAATTTCCTGGTTGCTGTGTGAGAAGTATATTTTTGTAAAAGCTAACTACTTGTTTTACTTCTTCTGCAGGCCTTGCAGCGAGCCAGTCAGATTATTGCTGAGATTCGAGAGACACATCTTTGGTGAAGGCTTTCTCTACCTGCCACAATGTTTTTACGGGTGGAGACCCTGATGACTTGAATATTGCTAGGCATTGTATACTGAGTAGAATTTTATTTATGAACTTTTATGTGTACTGCAACTATGTGTAAATCTGCTCACGTAAAGACAGTTGGTTTGACTTTCAGACAGAAAAGTATGCTGTACTTTGCAAAAAAACCAAACAAAAAACAGTCATATTTAATCCACATAATAAATGGCTCTAAATGTTTTCTTACCAGTTTTCTGGTGCAAATAAATCAGACCCAAGTCTACTGTCTTGTGACAGTCTTGGGAAGAACCATTAAAGTTCCAGCGCCTGGCTTGCTAAACCAGTTGCCCGTAGATACAGATGGACAGTGTAGTCTTGTGGTGTTGTTTCAAGCTGCTTTTACAATAGAAGTTTCAATGCTGTGAAGAGGAGAGAGTACCAAATATCTTCTTCGAGTATATTGCATGCACCATGGCAAATGGCAATCTCAATTTGATAGCTGGCCCAGTAGAGATGTCTCCCATATAACTATGTATGTTTGTCCCCATTTTTTTCCAGAACTTCAAAAGAAAGCAGCATTAAAACAAATTTCTGAACTGCATAAGCAAGTTTCACTTTAGATGATTTAGCCTGGAACTTTAAAGCTAACAAGAGGACCTGCTAACGAGCTGGTGCATGCCAATAAATGTGCACCAGAATTTGCCTATCTTGTTGGGGATGATAATCAGGTGTACGAGCACCTCCCCCTCTGGGACCAAAGCCCTGGACCATCTGCTAGTAGAGCTGTTCTGACAGAATTTAAAAATAAAAATGAATTTGAAACTCTTGTGGGATAGTAAGTGTTTCTTTAAGGATAAATTAGACAAGGGGAGAGGGGGGAATCCCTTCTTTTTCTTTTCCTTTTTGAGTAATTTTGGAAAGAGCAAAGGCATGGAAGAGACTGGAGTGCTTGTACTATATTACTGCTCTTGGGAGGAGGGGGGTGGGAGAGGGAAATCTTGTACTGTGCATTTAGATGACTTTTTTTCCCCAAGACAACCCAAGTAGTCTGAGCAGCAAATGTGAAATTGGGACTGTAATTGATGATAGACTTTTCTCCTGGTTACAGCTAGCACAGCTAAATGTGGATAACATGAGTTTCTGATTTTTTTTTAAATGTATTATAGTCTCCTATATGAATTCAGACTCCAGTACACTTGCACGTATTTTTTTCATACAGATTTACTTATTTGATAAAGTGAAAATATTTACAATGGTCTTCCTGGTGTTATTTTTCATGTGCACATTTTGTTTGTTGAAGTTAAATGTTACTGCCCATATATGTATGGTTATTCTTGGTGTATCAGACCAATACAATAAGATTTCTCCTTCCACACAGAGTTTCTTCACTAATTCAACTTTTAACTGAAATTGCATTCTTTTTTTTAAGCTGCTAAACTATTTATAAACCAATGAACCTGGTAATTTTATGAACAGTTGAAGAACCAATTTATAACAATGGCTGTTAACAAGGTATCGACCCAAGTAAATGCTCAAATTAAGTTTCTCAGCAGTATCTTGATATTGAATTAAGACCAACAGAAGCAAACCTTTAATACTGTTTGGGTTGCATGTGTCCCTCTCTTTCCCTAACATATAACATTAAATTCTACAGCTTGAAAATTCACACGGTAAAAATCAGGAGGGAAAAAGTGCCTTCTGTGGTCCTGGAAATATGAGGCCAGGTTGGAGGTAGGATAGAAACCAGCTTTAATACTACTATTAACCACCAGATCAGTTTAATATTTCAATGAAAGGATTATACTTTATAATTGAAATCCACTTTACATTTAACACTGTTAAAGTGTTATGTTGTTCCTCTGCTTCTTACCTTCCTCATTTGATGTAAAAATGTTACTTTCCAGCACATTTGTACTAGACATAAGGAATAAGCAGTAATTTAGATTCCATAATTAAATTTTACAATCTACTTGTCAAGAAAATATACGAATCTTGTGAACTTTCAGAAGCATGCATTAACAAATGAGTGCAGTATGTTTGAGGAAGTCTCACAAGTGAGGACTATTGCACAAGCAATTATACAAGTAGCTAAATGCTAATTATTACTGGCTTGAATTCTTTCCAAAGTGCTATATCAGATTTGTGCATGTGATCCTACTTCCCTTTTAAATAACCTGATGTATGATTTGTGGAAAGAAATGAACATTATTTGCCATTACGGATGCCAGCTTCAAAAAAAAATAATCAGGTTTTAACATTATAATATAGCTTGAATAAATACACTCTTAACACAAAATGTATTAATTATCCCAGAAGTTCAACTTTGAATCATGAGGACTACGTCAAATACACATTTATAATATAAATATACTTGTGTTATGTGTTAAGGCTTTTAAAATTTTCCACCACTAGTTCTAGTAGAGCAGTGGGAGCATTCGTGTAGGCAGGCACCTGGTAGTATTTTTAAGCATTGTGAATTGGAGTTAATCTGAGGAATGAAGTAGAGTTAATCTGAGGGATTTAATTACTGTGGCAAACGCAAAGCAGTCACTGGCACTGTGTGCGCTAACACTCTTGCCTTGCTCCCATCAGTCAAAGAAGTGATGGGAAAATTAGGGAAAGAATCCCAGTGTAGGCAGAGATTTAGTGCTTTTGGATCTTTTTTTGCCATTGGGTTTTGAATTGATTTTGAACTGTACCTACTGTGCATTGTACAAATAACCTGATGTAAGAAGCTTTCTTCCTCGAAAACCCACATCTGCAGAAATGAAAATCTTGGCGTCTCTTCAGAAATTTAACTTAAAGCTTTTTAACAATCAGGAAATAGGCTTTAGAAATCTTGAACAAATCTTCTAGTATCCAGTGAAACTGACACAAAATAGAGGGGAAAAGATATTTAGTACAAACTGGTTGGAGAAATAGAAACTTAACATTAACATCCAATGTATGTATGTTACTACTGTAAATAAAATTAATAGTGTGAAAGACTTGCACATAGTTTGTCAATAAATTACTTTTTTAAGTGGTCAGTTTTACATTTTACTTTTGTGGGATAGGTCTATATGGGAAGTGTGTGCACTCAAAGGTATCATGTAAAATATGTATCAAGTCTTATTTATCAGATGTCTACGAAAGATTTCCTTTAAATGATAGCTGTTAGTAATAACTGTATTTTCTGAACCTCAGCCACAGAAGCACAACATCTGTTCACAGCCCCCTCTTCTCTACCTTCCATGCATCAATGTTAGGAATTTAAGTAGTTTAAGAGCATAGAAACCTATGTGGCTACTAACTGGTGGTTTTTTTCAAGCTGGTTGGTAAACCTTTTTCAAAAAGAGTTGAATTTAAACTAGTAAGATGTTGCCAATTAAAGTTATAGATACAGGTACTCTTCACTTAACGTCGTCCCAGTTAATGTTGTTTCATTATTACATCACTGATCTATTACAGAACATACGCATTTAAAGTCATGCAGTGTTCCATTATGATGGTGTTTGGCCACCACGTACTAGTAGGTAACTACTGCGATGTAATTGGATTTGCTTAACATTGTTTAGCTTAAAGTCGCATTTTTCAAGAACATAACTACAACGTTAAGTGAGGAGTAGCTGTATGAGGAAAAACTTTCTCACTAGGAGGGTAGTAAAACCCTGGCACAGGTTATCGAGAGAGGTTGTGGAATCTCCATCCTTGGAGGCTTTTAAAGACCCAGCTGGACAAGAAGCCTTGACTGATATCTAATTGGGGCTGGTCCTGCTTTGAGCAGGGGGATGGAGCAGATGATCTCCTGAGGTCCCTTCCAACCCTAACTTACTATGATTCTATGAAAGCTGTATCTCTTTGAGGGGGGAGAATAGGGATGAATGAAATTTTTGAAGGACTGTCTAAGGAAACCAAAGAATTCCTGCATCTATCCCTTGTGTTAAGGTAGTCTTCAGGTTTACCAGCTCTTTGCCTCTTCATTTTGCGATACCACTGTGAAGTTAGCAACTGTCAGCAATTTTAAAGATTAGATTGGAATTTCAGGCTTTAGATTAAATAACTCTTTTAGGGAAGAATGGTCAAAACAAAATTGTTTTCACCACAGCAGGCAATGAATTAAACTATATTCATATAGCGTAGACAAAAGATACAGAAAACTGAAAATGATGAGATCAGCAAATATATCTTTTTCTAATCCCAGGGGATTAAGAGTTTAAAGTTCTTCCAGGGGCCCAGTCCTGTTAACAGATAATATTTGCAACATTTAGGAAAGTGAAATTGCAGAATATAATTTCCTAAAGTTATGCCAGGTAGAAAACTCACCCTGATTTAAAGCAAGAGTTCCATCCTGCACCTGAACTCTTTGGGCTTCCCCTTTTCAGATACAGCAGGCAGTTTCCAAAATTGAGATGGTAGCTATTATTAGTATACTAACACTTACTATTTGTTTTCTAGAAGCTGCCCAGACCAATTATCCCAGGCACTGTTCAAACCAAGGAGACCTAAATGTGCCCAAAATGCTTACTGTTCTTTCTGCGTTTCCAAAGCATTAATCTACCCTGTCTGACTTCCTGCCCCTTGGACCCGATGATCTCGTGAGGTCCCTTCCAGCCCTAATGTCTATGAAATCTATAATTGTATAAAACACTGAATTAAAGCCAGTTTCGGCTGGTAACATGTAAACTATTTTGACCATAAACAGTATATCTAGCTCAGAATCTATTCAGTAATCATTGGAGAGCATATACCAGATGGTATCGATTTCAGAGTTCATCTTCCATTCTGCATCTGTTCTTCCAACAAGCCATAGTATTTGGAGTGTAACAAGCAGAGACGAGAAAAAGACTATTTTCATCCCTTCAGTAAATATGCAATGTTTTTATTCAGGTTATTGCTTGGAAGTGCTTTCCTGCCAAAGGATGCTACTGTGAAGGATAGTAAGTAAAGCCTGTAGGTGTTTGATAAATGTGCTGCTGCTTTTTTTTTTTTTTTTTTGGTAACCACCCCACACTGCCCCAGGGATGTGGGTCTACGCAGGGCGGGCAGCAGTGGCGAAGAGACCCCAGCATGGATCTCTGCTCCCTGTGGGGCTGAGTCGCCTGGCAGGGACAGCAGGCTTGCTCGCCACTCTGTGCTGCTTCCCTGCCCCACAGCCTGGCGTGATGGGGATCAGAGATCTGCGCGGGGGTCTCCTCACCTGCACGGAGGGCAGCAGTCCTTCCCCAGACAAGCCACCCACAGAAGAGATCCCTTCCTGGGTCTCCTCCTCACCGCTGCCCGCCCCGTGCAGCCCCAGATTTCTGCTCCCTGTGGAGCTAGGTTGGGTGGAGGGGACCAGCACTGCCCTGCCATGCGACCTGGTAATTTCTCGTGTGTGACTAAAACCCTCTTTGGTCTCTGGATCCCCTCCTGAATTATTTCATATCATGGGATTCTGGCCACCTAGCTACTGGGCCTTTAAACAGCTTAAGGCAGAGAAATTTTGGACAGGGAAAACAGTAATTTCCTGAGTTGGCCTGAGTTCTTCCTTGCCCTCCCCATATTAGGATTGTGGGATTTTGTGGGGTCACTTTGGGCAAAAATGAAAGTAGTCTGACTCACCTGCTCACCAGGGTACAAAGGGATGTGCTGGTTGTAGGTAGGAGTACATTCCATTTTTACATAATAACTAGGTAGTAGAAATAGCATCTGTTATGAGTGCTAATTGACTCACAGAAAGAATAGAGGTTAATGTAATTAGCTCCATAAGTCTAGCTGTGGAAGTCTTTGCAAACAAACCCCAGTCAGTATGGCTAACTGTTTGACTAAGAACAGTGCCATTAAGAACCTGGAAGGCAGGTGGCAGTCTGTTAGCAATTCATGATTATGTTTAGTACTGAACTCTGTGGTGATAGTGTAAAGTTTTATGAGCCTGAGGAAAATACAGTGGACTAGAATGTCTGGTCTCTTAAATATCTCATGTTTTTTACACCAGAGTTGAGTCCAGATTTTACCTCAGACAGATCATTAAAAACCAAAGAGTATAATGATTTAGCCTATAATCTTTATGAGAAGCTTATCAATTATCAGATCAAAGTGAGTTGGGCTGGGATGTCTTTTATTGTATCCAGTGTGTTTGGAATGTGTTGCTTTGCTCCCAGAGCTCCACAAATCAGAAAACTGTGTTCTCTCTTAGACTACATGAAAGGATGATTATCAAGGGCCTGAGTAGTTTTAGTGTGCGACCACTGGACTTGCTCCTGAATTTTTGTTTCAGGATATCACAGAATTCATTGTTACTCCTGAAGCTATATAACTATATAACCCTGTAGCATTTCCTACCAGTGTACACGAACTTGGATAACAGCCCATGTTCCCTGCACTGTTCTTAATCAAATAGCATTTGATTAAGAAAATAAACATCTCATTCAGAATCAGGGAGTGGCAGATCTGTAGTCTCTGGAAAATACCGCTGCATCTCACCCAAGATACACTGCTGAATTTGACAACAGTCTTACCTTTCCTGGCACCAGTGAAGGGCAGACATTTCTAAGCTAGGCCACTTGCAAAACCTTAATGGGAGACAACTAGGCTCCCTGCAGTACATAGTAAAAACGTTTTATACCTGTCATATGAGACAATCTTTACATTGCTCCTCCTCAAAAGAAATTTTTCCCAAAAGGGTTTGTTTTGTTCTTCAGATGAGCCGATTCCAAATGTCTTGGTTACCTAGCCATCCAGGCAGCTAACTCTAAATTTATCTGTGTCAGGGAAGTAAAGGGAGAAATCTGAATATGATTTTTAGTGCCCTAAGCTCCTGGCTTTTCCTGGCAAACTGACTGCAAATGTACATATGGAAGACTAATGAAAGAGATTTCATTATCATGAAATACACACTGCTCTCAAACACGCAAGTCATTCCACCATCTTTTGGGTATTTTACTGCTCCTTAGTTTTTCTTTTTTTTTCATGCTGCCTTTACTTAGCTCTTCTGGGGAGACTCCTTGGTTCAAAGACCCATCACAGAAAAAGAACCTTAACTGTCACTTAATTGCAGATGTTTGACAATAGAATCCAAAATTTAAACTTCCAAATCTGTTGCATTTCTGAAAACTGAAAAACCTAAAGGTGCTAGAATCAATTGTGTGCTTCCTTCTCTCCCTGGGGTGGGGATTGAAATCAACATTGATAGCAAATGGTAGTAATCCCCTTTGTGATGCTATTTTTTTTTTTTTTTTATGGCAGCACAAAGGCAAAGCAAGCAGCCCCTTGTCATGCTGCAAAAGTTCAAAACCTATGCCTGCAAGGTGATATCTTGTGCTGCTACTTAGCAGTAGATGTGCTTGTTTTATAGTGTGAGTGCTGGTAACCCAAAACTGCCTGTGCTGTCCACCCGCCCTGGGCAGGTGCTCTGAGGGTGCAATCCTGTGCAGAAATTCTCAAGGTGCACAGGATTGGGCCCCTCAAGCCCCAAGAGCACCTGAGCTGCTTACTGAGAAGCACCCCTACAATCTGTGGGGTGTGTCTTAGCAAGCTGCTTAGCCAACTGTCCTCACTAAAGAGACCAGGCCCCAGAGATCCCAGGGGCCCTTCACTGAGAAACCCTGACTTTACCCAGTTAGAGACATGCTGTAGAGATCCTAGGGACCCTTCCTGGTAATTGGGGAAAGCTGGGCAGGCACTGTCAAGGCTTGAGGGGTCTGATCCTGTGTGGAATTCCAAGGGTGTGCAGGACCAGGCCTCTCAAGTTCTAGAACGCATCACCTGTTGTCCCACAGCATCGGCAGGTAGGACAATAAGCAATCTGTGTTTTGCCTAAGGAAGAGGGTTGGCTGCACCAGGACACATCCTGGTACAGCTGATCCACCTCATTTGGCAATCTTTGCTTAGCCTGAGACTTCAACAGCATGTTATAGTACATGTGGCTTTGGGGGTCTGAATAAGTGAATGAAGCTTCATCTACAAAGGGAATAGAGGTATGGAATAGTATTTTGTTAGAAGTGTCTTTTATATGGCTGTTATTCACCATCAAAACTAAAATAAACATGCAAATCTATTTTCAAAAATTTTTATTTGAATCATCTGAGATAACTAAGTAGGTTCTCACATTGTGAGAGATAATATACTACACTATCACACTGTACCTGTATATTATGCAATACGTAGAATACAGACGATGACTTGAGATACAGTCTTCAAACAATTTAGTAAAAAGGTGCATCTTATATTTTAATGAAGTATTCCTTTTGGTCAGAACTGAAGCCATTTTATTATGTAGAAGTTTTTCTTTCCAATCTTCAGTAGAGATATTCCACTCTTCAGGATATGCTGCCCAACAACTAGAACAGCTTCAGCATTAGTTTCTTGAATATAGTTTATAGAAACTCCACCACTTGTAATCATCTGGTACCTTGAAACAAATAAGCATTGCAAGATGAAACTGGTTGTTCCTACTAAACCTCAAGGTTCAGTTAAAAATGCTTGTTATTGCATAAATTTTGATTAAGGAAACTTGAATGGTCTCATAATGAAATAAAACTTCTAGGTCATCTGTTTAAAATCAGTCAAGGTCTGCAGTGACAGACAGACATCACCCCCCAATGCTGACACAATGATCTTTTTTGAGGTGCAGAAGGGAAGAGAACTTTCCCTATTAACATTTATGACCTACACTACAAAATACCTTTCCCTGTTGCACTGAGCCAGCAATAACTTTGCTAAACTACTTCAATATTTTGGCTTGGCGAATCAAGTTTCTTGATAGTTCTTTTCATTTTGTAGGGTGTTTAGATTCTTTATTATTAATTTAGAAGGACTTAAGTAAACTTTTGGAGGTTCCTCTGCAAAAGCAGAACACAGACATAGCAATGAGGAATATACTCTATAACTCAGACTTAGCATGAAAAAAATACTTTGTCAGTATAGGTCAGAATTGGGTAAGTAGCTGAGATCTATCATATTACTTCACATAAAAATTGATTCAATGAGTTATACCATCCCTCTTTTTTTAACCACTATAAGAGATTACCTTGCTAACTAATTTCAAATGGCTACTTGGCTCTTCTGATGTCTATAATTATGTTTCGTGGACTGGAATAAGCAAACAAAGCAGACCCTTATCTTAGAACAAGTATCTGGAACTACAGAACTGCAACCCACGTAAAAAAGTTATTACTAAAAATACAAATTGTTTCATACCCACGAGGTCCATCTGGAATAGCTTTTGCTTTGCGACATAAGTCAAGCACAGTCATTCCAGGTTCAAGCAGCAATTCAGCAAACGGAGCCTCTCTGAATAGTTCCTGTAATTCTTGTTCAGACATGGTCTCCAAAGACTCCAAATTGTTGTGATACAGTGCTTTAGTACACCTGAAAAGAAAAGTGAAGCTACTGTTAATAAAAACAGGGTTTTATTGTTTCTATGACTAGATAAGTGTTTCACCCAAATACACATGATTCTCCCGCCCCAGCACCTATTAGGAATGGATGCCTCAAAAGTAGACAAGCACACTGAAGCATCATTACACTCCACTGTACACCTTTCTATAAACAAGGTTCTACCCTCCTATGTCATGTCAATGTTACTTCGAAGCCTGCATATGTAATATATGTCTTCTGCATTGTCCCCAAAACACAGCTGAGTACAAGCTAACTACACAGTACCTTTTTCTGCTTTACCTTTTAGCAGATTCCAGACCTTCTTGGCCATGAACCAGTTTAGTTACTTCTGCAGCAAGTCGTTTCTGCGGACCCCACTTTTCAGGTTCCTTAGCATGCATTTCCATGGTATGATCAATCTCCGCAAGAGGAAGGAAAGTGAAGAGTTTCAGGTACCTAAGTGCAGAGCAGGGTGGATAAAAATCAGTGATTTAAAAACAAACAAAAAAAAATCAGATTTTTTAAATTTAAATCAGACTTTGATTTAATTGTATTTAAGTTTTTTTTACAAAAATAAATTACATATATTTTTAATTTAAGATATGTTAAAGCTCAAAGATATCATAATGTAATAGGGATTATAGCTTCTAGTTTTATACTATAAGACAAGATATTCGTGTAACCTTTTTAGAAGTTTATAAATAGGTCACAACAGCCCATGGACTATGTTAGGGGCCCAATCTTACAGGGTTCCCAGAGGCTCTTCTATAAATTAGTAAAGATTAAAGAAAACCGCTCTACCCAATGGGACTTAATGCTCAGTCTGGAAGAGCCCATTAAGCATCTCTGTGATGCATAAGTTTCAGTTCTCAAACTGTGGATTTTTGTCTCCAGAGATAATATCCTCAACAGCAGTATATGATGCGAGATAACAGACCTGAATACCTACCCATCAGCCCTATTGTCTCTTCACAAGTTTATGTACAGAATCAAGCCCTTGTATCTCTCTAATAAAAGTACAAAGTGTCAGGAAGTTAAATGAATAGGGGATAGCAAACAACAAGAATGCACTTTTTTTGTAGAAAACAGTGATTAAATCGAGGCTTCCTGACCAGTGATTTAAATGGTTATTTAAATTAAATCCACCCTGGTGCAGAGCAAGAATTATTTTATTTTTATAACAATTGATATATTTAATTTGCTTTCATTCTGTCATAAAAATATAATGCCCTGTGTTAACATGTTTTGTGATTTATTTAAATCAATACTGATTCAAATGGTTCAACAATTTCAAATAGTTCTTTATTTCTGCCTGTATAGCTAAGACTAAAAGCATCATCAGTGGCTTATTTTGGTCTTTCCTCATGTGTACAGGCTTCAAAAATTCTTTATAATTTATGCTAAATAATGCTACTGAGACACTTTTTCTATTTTAAAAAAAGTAAGTAATTCATTTCTAACTTTTCAACTACATGAGCTACTTTAGTTAAGACATTTACAATTGCATTTACATAATAATGAAGTTTCTGTATTTGTTCTATAAGAATAAATCAAATTTATCCAGTATAGTGTAACGTAAGTATAACATATGTATGTAGATTGCTATTCCTAGATAGGAATAGTTCTCAGTGGACAGTGCCCAGCAGTAGAGCACAGGACTATACCATACTGTACCCCATTTGAGAAAAAAAGACACAGTAGGATAAACAAGATTAATTCAAGGGCATATTTCAATACAAGAAACAGCTACCAAAATACCAGATAATTTCTTGTAAATAACAATTTACTAGTGCGTTGCAGAAGAATAAAGTGTCACTTTTGTATCTTTGATATAAAGGCCTGAAGTTTTATTAAGCCCATTTTTTTAATAGTAGAAATATTTGTGTGTTCTACTTCCTGAAAGGTGTTATAGTAATGATGACTGGCAGAAGCTACCTGAGCACTGATAATCTGGTTTGCAAAACTGTTCTATCAATGAAATAGCAGACCAAAGAAGTTTGGACACCCATATCCAAATGCTTTCAGTGGTCTCCAAATATTTCTGAGGTTTAGTGGTAATTATTGCTCCATCATTGTGGAGCTATTCTCAAAAAAAAGCCATACCTATACCCAACTGAATCCTTTTAACACCCATGAACCTTTCAAGGTGAAGGGCAGCAAACAGACCTAAGTTCTTAGATTTGTTTGTTATGGTAGATACTATGGTTCATCCACTCAGGTGGCCAAAGTTTACAGAATCCCAGGTTTCTAATATCCAACACAAATGTTTTATGTTAGTTAAGTTTTAATTTTAATATGGTGCACTTTAGTGAAAAAGAATAGTACTTCTCAGAGGCAGAGCGTATGTTTTCTGAGATGGAACTTGAACTATGCTAAGGTGAACACAGATTTTCACTGAAGCAAATACTGCAGTTGCTTCTACTCACTCAAATATTCCTTGTGAGTATCAAATACTGCTTTTTTGAGAATACTAAAAATTCAGCTTGGATGTGAATACAATTGCTAACTTGAACAACAGCTGTAAACTCTTCTGATTCAATTGTTCTTAAGCCCTTCCTTTGCTTAATTGCTTGATCTTAGCTAGCAACTGGAAACTGACCCATGAATAAATTATAATCTCTCTAATTTGAGCGTAGAAATAAAAACAATTAAAGTATATTTTTATTTTACTCTATTATTGCTGGAGTGGAGTCCTCTCCTGAGAGCTTTGGTATTTGGAAAACAAGTGCAGAAATTAAATTTCTGGTCTCTTGATGTAACATTATCTTAAACTTTGTTTGACGGCATGCACTATTTCTAGGGGCTTTGCTGGTGAACGATCTTAACATTAAATCTACCAGCAATTTTATGTTGCATCAAACCATATTCTGTGAACCATCCCAGAATATGAAACTTGTGCTGTAGTTGGAACTTGACTCACTGGGATCCTTCACAATTCAGAAAAAAATGGTAGTCTCTTCTTTCTTCACAGCAAAGGTTCTTGAATACCATAAGGTTCGGTACTAAATCAAGTACTAGGTCCATGCTACTTACTGCTCAGGAAGGGATGCTCTGAAGCCGTGGTTTTCAACCTTTTTTCATTTGTGGACCCCTAAAAAATTTCAAATGGAGGTACAGACTCCTTTGAATGGTAAGTGTGGGTATTCACATAATTCTGATTGATCATTTTAATCTTTCACAGACCCCTTAGACACAGCCTGTGGACCCCTCAGGGGTCTGTAGACCAGAGGTTGAAAACCACTGCTTTGGAGTGCATTTTGCCCATCTGCTCCCAGTCATGTGCCAAATTTAGAAACATGGTATTGAAACTGCTCAGCAGGCATTCCCCACATGGATTTACTGCTGCATTCTGAAGTTTGGAACAGGTGTGAGGGGCATGCTCAGAAGTGTCCTTCTGCCAAACGTGCCATAGTAATAGCCACACATTCCTTAAAACACTTACAAAAAGATCATATTAATCAAAATAAAACCAGAATGCATTTGTTTTATTTTTACATTTGTTCACACACCTGCTAACTTGTGATCTGTCTCCTGGTATGTGTAAGTGAGGTTTACACACACCTGTTTGTGAAATTTGCCAAATTTAATTAACTGACATTTAAATGAAAAGGGGAAGAACTAACTGGCTAGTGATAACTGGAAATCCAGCTTATTGCACGATCTCATATTGTGTGCGTCTGTGGAAAACAAAGCTACTTATTGGTGAAACTATTACAGGCAGACATAGTTTACAAGTTTTGTAAAAAAAAATAGTTTTAAGAAACTACTTGCCTTCCAACAATGCGATCTTGCTGTCTGACAAAAAACTGATACAGCTCAAACGGAGAGGTCCTGTCTCTATTCAGCCAAACTGCATTGCCAGCAGACTTTCCCAGTTTATCCCCAGTGGTACTGGTAATAAGAGGCACAGTAATTCCAAACACCTCTTCTCCGGTCACCCTGTATTAGAGAAGGAATCATTGCACATTAAAATCACATTATTTGGTAAGCTTAAATATATCTTTTGTTTCTTTTATAGACATTTCCAAACCTTTACAGATTAGTTACTTTGTATTAATGTTAAACTGAAAGATAATCTTATGAATTCAGTGCCACTAGATGCTGGAGGCAAAGATGTTTGTGGCATGCACAAATCTAACCTCTCTCTCATATGCAATGGTGAAACCTAATCAGGATTGAAAAAAAACTTAGAACCCTCAAATTTCTGGGCATAAATCAATGTTAGCTTATGGGATTTAGGAGGAAATTTCCCCTAGAGGCAGATTTATTCTTTCAGTATCTGCATCTAGACCTCCCTACTGTCCAACAGGATGCAGCACTGAAAGGACATGTCACTTTTGATGTGTTATATGTATGTGGTACAGGCATTTGTAATCTGCAGCAGTTTACAGGTACTAGGTAACTGTTAAGTTCTTTCTGAGAAGTGCCACTGAAGCCTTACTTTACATTTCAACAACCAAGACAAACTGGAGTGACCTGTTTTCATTTCACTTTTCTGAATACAGAAACGACTGTTTAGTTCTCACATGCTCCACAGGAGCAGTTTCAGCAGCCTTCTCTCTCTGTACTTATCCCCAGAGGACAATGCTGATATGAATCTTTCCAACAGTTGTGTAAATTGGAGAGCGAACGTAGCATCTTCTGGTTAAGCCAGCTGGCGCCATGGTGCAGAATGCAAGTGCCTCAAAGTTATTATAGACTGGGACTTAAAGTCTAAAGATGCATCTCATCCCTACCTACTCAAGGGCTCCGTATCTTAGCCTATGCAAAAAAGCATTTCCAGGCATCCAAAACTTATGTCTACTTAGAGGCTACTGCTGTTTGAAAAAAAGGCCTTCCACTGATGCTCTCTTTTGTTTTTTGTCAAGGGTCTCATTTTATCTGAGTTCCTACAGGCGGAAAAGAAAGCTACAAGAGGCTCTTGGCTTTCCTACAGTAAACAGTTCCAAGCCCTCAGAGTCATGGCGGAAAACATGAAAGCATGCCCACAGGCTACTGTCAATGCTCAAAAATATGGCAAATAAAAAGTATTGAATTTTTTTCACTCATCATTAAGCCAATATCAGTCTTGTTAAGGCTGGTTCACAAACTCAGAATACTTTTTACTGCACCAGAAAAGGAACAAAAATCTTCCTGACAGCTCTTGACTGCCCACCACATCCTCATGAAACTGATGCCTGCCTTTGGGGGTATGTTTGCTAAGGAAAGTTGAGCATAGAGCAGTAATCCTTTGAGCTGACAAGGCAACACCTGCTAAGCACCATCCTGGCTAAGCGGCCTCTAGCAGTCATGAATGATGCGTGCCCACAGTGGTGCTGATGGCAGCAGAAGTGCAGCAGCGGTAAGCAGGGAGCTCCTGCAGATGCCACTGGCAGCAGGTGAGCAGCTACTGCCTGCAGGTGCTGCTGACACTGTTGGCTGCTCCTTTTCATAAGAGGTGCATGTGCAATGCCAGCAGCGGTTTCCAACTTTTTTTGCGTCAGGACCCTTTTATAAACATTGATGGCCAGTCCCAATGCAGTGCCCTTATTCTCAACCCGCCG